CTTTTTAAACCCTACAACTTTTGTATTTAACATTTTTTTATACAACGCTTTGTTTTCGAGATATTCAGGTGTTCCGGTATATAATATTCACCCTGTATATGCTGCGTCCCTGTCAGCAGCTAAGTCCTAAGCGGACGTGAAGGCGAGCTTGGTTCGCGTGTATATGCTGCGTCCCTGGCAGCAGAGTTCCTGAGTACAACTCGCGCGGAGTCGTGAGCTCGACCGTAATAAGTTCTGTTGGCGCTGATACCCGGTATATGCAATACGGGAGAAGTCGCAAAGAGAGACGTCCACCGGGGTGGAAGCGTCAAGGTAATCCGAAGTGGTCGCGCGAAGCCTTCTCTTAATCCTCGATCGTATTGAGAAGGTAGAGATCTGTGGAGTTACCATACACTTCGTAACACAAACGCCAACGTGTCCTCGGACACTCTAGAGGCGAGAGCCCAACGTGCAAGCGCACTCTAAAAGGGTGCGAAGACCTAAACCAGAATCCCAACGTGTTATGACACTCTGAAGGCAGCGATGATCAATGCAGACGTGCACACGTATACTTCTGGCGAGGCAAGTGCCCAACGTGCTTACGCACTCAAGAAGGCGATATGAAGCTAGATAGAGTACAAAATAATACCTCTGCGAGGCAGTGACCCGATGCGCTAATGCAGTCAAAAGGCGTAGAGTCGGCGCCCGTGGCGTCTTATATAGGCGCCGCACCGAAATTTAACTGCGAGCAACGGCCTCGGCTCGGCACGCTGCCGCGTAGCGGCGACGGCGTGAAGCTGCGGCGAGCGGCAGTCGCCCGCGAGCGGAACGCGCCTGGCGCACGGCTGCCCGCCGCCCGCCATCCGTGCGGACGACAGCTCCCATATACACGCGGTAACATTTTTTTGTGTGAAATTTGAACAGAATCTTTATCTCTATTGTCACAATTTTCATAGTTTTTGATTTTTCATTCACGCTCGCATTCGCGATTATTAATTTGATATTTTTGCGAATTTCACCAAATTGTACTTGCGGAAAAATCGCGAGCGAACTTCGCAGAAATATTGCGGAGTTGTTACTCCCAAAAATATTGCGGAATTGTCTTCGCAAATGTATTCTGGAGTTGTTATCTACAAAAGTATTACGGAATTGTCTTCGCAAATATATTGCGGAGCAGTTATCCGGAAAAATATTGCGGAGATGTATTGCAGCCTACTACGCTGCATTATCGAAACGTTATATTAGGGATATTCCGTACGTGAGAATTTCGCACAGAACTTTGTTTAACATTATTTCGCTCACACGTCGAAAGATTTCGCGAGATCGGTTTTCGCATCGCGTGTTCCCTTTGCTCGCGGATTCCGTTTTCTTTGTAAGCGAATCGCGTCGCGCGTGCATCAAAGTGAAACACTACAACTCAATCGGACCGTTGTTGAATTCGTCGAACATACTCGTCGTTATCCAAAAGGCCGACATTTTCTCGAAGACGCAATTCGTGATATTTCATACGCAATTCGCATCTCGGAGTGTATCCCCCAAGAGAGACGGGATTTTTCGTGAAACCTCTGTTAGATTATCGTGGTCGGGAGTGAATTACAGGCGACGTGGGACGCGAGGATCATTGCAGAATCAGATGCAGCGACAGGATGGCTGGTGAACCCTGGACAACGTGGGACGACGCGTAATGGTGAGCGCTCAATTTAAATGTTCATATAGTAGACACAATGCGTCACTTTACGTAGATTGCATGCACGTAGACATAAATCGTATTGGGTTCGATGGGAAGTAAAGGAAGAATTGGAATTTGCAATTCGCCAGAGTTATGTAAGAATGATCCAACCAAAGAATTTAGTTCTGAGATTTTCGTAATAGTTCAACGAGTCAAGCATTAATGTTTCTTTAAGAATACTGACTAGCTCAATCCTTAGAAAAATATGCAAAAAGACGTGACTGGTAGAAAAGAAAGTTTCTTAATTCATTTCAAATATCTCTATAAGGCTTGAATTTGTTTGTTTCGATTAAAAAGATATGAATGGAGTATCCGTTGATAAAAGCTTATAATTTTTTTATTTGGATTATTCTTACATAACAATAGCCAATTGAAATTTCGACATGTTTCCTTCTCATTGGATTATTTCTTGATGATACACTAAACTGATATATTTCAACATGTCATATTTATATGTTCGGTAAATGTTATATATGCTTTTTTTATACTCTAGATATGATTTATATATACCCAATGTATGCTCTATATATACTATTGGTTTAATATACTTTATAACTTGTTATATCGTATTATATACGACATACTTTCTCTTCGGAGGTATTTTCTTATGCATACGCGTTTGTCGTTGACAAGACGACAAATTAAATTTCATCAAATTAAAGACAATAATTTAAATTATTAAACTCAGATTCGAAACGAAACCTTTCGATTTCCCGCTAAATTTTATAAAATTTATATATTCTATGTAGGAGCTAAATCTTCAATAGAGTTTCGCAACTGAATCTACTTTACTTCTTAAGATCCTATTATTATGCAACCTATTTTAATGCTAAAAAAGCGAAAGTGGAAATTTCAGACATCATAAGGTGGAAAGAAAGAGTAAATTATATTAATAAATTAAATAAATTATATTATTAAATTATAGTAATTATATTAATTAGAATTAAACCTACTTTGCTATCTTAGCTCTTACTGCTGTGTAGAATTCAAAGTTCAACATAGGGTCAAAATTTCGACTCGGGTCCGCTTCATATTCGCATATACTTTTACCATGCAAAATGTTTTCACATAGTCTTTGCAGAAAGATTCGATGTCGTGATGGTAACTGTTTCTTATCGTTTTCGTCTCATGTTGAGAGATACTCCGCTTCATTTTCGCACATACTTTCACTATGCAAAAAGGTTTTTTATTCGACGGAGGTAGAAAGAAGTAGTCTTTGCAGAAAGATTTGATATCGTGACAGTAACTGTTCTTTATCATTTTCGTCTTATATTGTAGGATGCTCCGCTTCATTTACGCATGTACTTTCACTATGCAAAAGGGTTTTCATTGGACGGAGGTATAAATAGGTAATCTTTACAGAAAGATTCAATGTCGTGATGATAACTGTTCCTTATCATTTTCGTCTCATATTGTGGGATGCTCCTCTTCATTTTCGCATGTATTTTAACCATGTAAAAGGGTTTTTAATTTGACGCAGATAGGAAGAAGTAATCTTTGCAGAAATATTCTGTCATAATAGTAACCGTTCCTTATTGTTTTCGTCTCATATGGATGCTCCGCTACATTTTCGCACGTATTTTTATCATGCAAAAGGGTTTTTAATTTTATTGAATCAGCACGAGACAATAGTTTTGCAAAGTCGGTATCACGTCAACGTCACGTGATATTTCCCAACAAATTTTACTTTGTGTTGACTTGACCAAATTAAAAATGCTTTTGTATAATAAAAGTACATGTATAAATGAAATAGGGCATTCCTGCCTTAAGGATGAAAACGATGTGGAACTATTGTTATCGTGACACTAATTTCATTTTTCAAAAATTACAGCGTACTGACTGCTCCAATTTATGTGATAAAATTACGTGTAAAAATAAAGTGTAACATTGATCAGTGCGAAATGAAAATGATATCGCAAATTACCATTGCTAAGTATATTAAAAACTCAAATAATAGGTAACGTATTTTTCAAAAATTATTCACAAACTACACTTGCGCCTACAACACTCTTTTCTAAAAACTCTTTCTTTGATGTACCCAGTACACAAGCGGTTTGAAAAATTCACCAGAAAAGTACACTGAGAGAAAAAATAGTTGGAATAACTATAATCTCACTATATTTTATAGTTTGTTTTGGCCTCAAACATATATTTATAGTTCATCTAAACATAAAGATATAGTAGAATGAACACAGATTTATAGTCACCATCTTATTACTCTCTATATATGGTAAAGCACTTTTTGGGAATATAGTTACATATACCTATATTTGCCAAATATTCCAATTGTATTGACTATATAAAATAGTTAATTTCTCTTACCATTCAATATTTGCTACCTTACTATATTTTTTATTTCAAATAATTATAAT